TCTCTTCTTTTCCCCGGCAACTCCCAAATGGGGATCACGATGCCTTGTGTCCTGCCTGCGCCTCTCATCAAGGTGAAGAGGAGTGGGCAGCTGAGGCAGACACCAGCAGGGGCAGCTCAGCCCAGCCCTCAGAGTGTGCGGCATCCAGCCCTGAAGAGCCTGGCCAGGTGAGGCTGGAGTGTGGGGGGTCTCCTATGAAGCGGAAGCTAGCATGAGACCACATTGAGCAACCTGCATTCCTGGCGTGGGCCCACAGTGACTCCGAGTCCTGCACCCCTCTCCCAAGGAAAGGTCCTTGGCTGCCTCTGGCACCTCTGGGCACAGACAGGTGCAATGAGAGGCACTGCGGCCATCTCTGGAGCTTGGAGCACTCCCTCTCCCACCCACTAGTGCTTGTCTTCCTTACTTTAGCAGTTAGAGGACAGCAGGGCCTGCAAATCCTTGGTTCACTTACCCTACCCGGGGTGGGGATGCCCCACGGGCCTAACCCCTGCCTTATCTTCTCAGGAGGCCTCTTGTCCCTTAACAGCCTCCCTGTTCCTGAAGGCAAAGAAAATCCTTCTCTGTGCTGGCTCACGAAGGGCCAATGGGCCACGGAGAGGGGGGGTCACTGGTGTCCTGGGGACAAGGGGGTCTCGGGTTCTAAGACTAGGGACAGCAGGATTGGTACTGGCCCTGTGGGCCTGGGGCCTTGAGAGGTGGAGGCAGCTGGGCTGGGGCCCAGCAGGCAGCAGATGGCGCCCCAGACCCTGCCTTGCAGACAGAGATTTGGTGAGAACAAGGGAAATTCAGAGACCTCCTCGCCACCAGCTTTACACTCCCAACAGGCTCTCAGTGAGTAACTGCACACTGCTCTGAGGTTACATGATTAAAATCTGTCTCCCACTGGCCTGGTCACTCCATAGGGACATATGGTCATCCTAATGTCCTCAGGGCCCAGTAGCAGGTGCTCAGAGAGTGTGGAATCAATGCAGGCAAGATGGAAGGGTAGATGAATGCAATACCCCTCCTGGGAGATCCTGGGAGAATACTGGCCCTTCCTGAGGGTGTGGACAGGTCAGTCCCCACTCACCCTGTCCTGTCCTTGTGGGCGGGGACAGTGGACGCAGCAACAGGGGCAAAGGCGTAGGATCTAGGCCTAGCTGGGAGACCCCTGCCATGAAGCAGTCTTATGGACGTGAATAGGTGTAGAGAGGGAGCCCAGAGGGTCCTGACTGGGAATTAGGGCCAGGACTACTCCCCTGCCTTCCCTCATGGAAGGGGGTCAAAGCTGTCTGTCCCTCACTCCACACAAGCCTGGGTCAATTCAAAGCAACCCAGGAGACAGCCGATAGTCTGTAGGGCTAAGGTGCCCAATGGAGTAGCTACCAGCCCCACATGGCTATTGAGCTTGAAAGGTAGCTAGTCCAAATTGAGATGTGCTGAAGTACGAAATACGTACTGGATCGCAAAGACTTAGCCCAAAAGAGAATGTAGAATATCTCATTAATAATGGTTTTATATTAATTACATGTTTCAGTGTGTTTGGATCTAATCAGTTAAATACAATTATTAATTAAAATGCATTTTATGGGTTTAATTTTACTTTTAAAAAGTGTGGCTACCAGAATTACATGCGTGCTTGCACTAAATTTGTTGAACCCTACTGCTTTAGATGCACAGGTGTCTTGACCTCTCCTGCCCCCCATTTATCAGTGAGGTCAGCTTTCAGGTGTGGGTCTTGCAGCGGGGACCCTGCAGCACTCACCTGGATCACAGTGGCCCAGTGAGCCTGGCGACGTGCTGGTGGAAGGAGGAGCTGGAGGCTAGGGTGCCGAGCCTACGGCAGCTGGCCCAGAGACCTAACGGCCCCAAACACTGGCCAGGGGTGCCTTGTGGAGTCACAGAACCTTGGATCCGGAGGCACCCTTGGGGACCTATTGCCTTATTTGCACCAGTGACAAACAGCCAACAACTAAGTCTGTGATCCCAGAAGCTAGATTCCTTGGGTCCCAATTCAATCCCCTTTCCAAACTGTCTCTCCTGGGGCTTTCAGGGGCGGATTCAAGACCCCTTCCTAGTTAGCAGTTTGATGCATCTGTGCACATGCTGAGCCCTTTCAGGACTGCTGTTGTCCCTTCTATCCAGCTGCCCTTGACCGAGCAACTGTTTATTCTTCAGGCCTCCACTGCCTGGAGGCTCTAGATGGCAGGATCCTGGTGGTGTACAACCCACCACACTGGTGGAACGAGGTAGATGTCCAATAGATCCGTTGTTGAATTGATGAACGAATGGTGTCCCTTCCTCTGGAAAACACTTCCTGAAGCCTCCCTCCTGTCCCCCAATCAGCTCAGGCCTCCCTACCTCCCAGTTCCCTCATCATCTGCGTCCCTGTTGGATTGTGAGCTGCCCTGGGGCAGGTGCTCGGAAAATAATGAAAAGCAAACCTGGGCCAACATCTCCCCTGATGTAGGGACAGAGGCCCAAGGTTCCTGGTGAACCTTCCAACTGTCCCAGGAAGGTGGCTCACACCAGGGAGGCAGGAAGAGTCCCGCAGTCTTGCCTGTGATGCTGAATTTCCACTCTTATCAGAGGTTTGCCTTTGGGTACTTCCCTCACCGGCTCTGAATCCCAGGCGATGCCCACATTGAGGAGCACATGAAATACCGCCCTGAAATACAGTACGCGTACCGAGCGCTATGCCCATCGCTAGCAGTGCTCCTTACGAGGTGGCAGTGGGTCCCACAGGATACGCTGAGGGCACTCGCGGTCTCACCCAGCCCGCTGGTGGGTGTGGACCCCCTCCTCCACTCAGTGCAACAGAGCCTCACACCAGCCAGCACAGAAAACATTGCTTTATTAACTGCGTTTGCCAACACACGAGGAGTGCAAAGGGCTCCTTGAGACACAGGCCCTCGTGGGGGCCAGAGTCTGGAGACCCCCATGAGTGAGCAGGACGGGATGGGACGAGGAGCTATGCAGCAGCGGCAACACAGAATCATGCAGGGCACGGCGGGCACTGGCCACGGCGAAGCGGCCATACATTCTATTGCTCGTAAGGGTAGCGAACATGAACAATGTACAAAAAGGAGAAATAGGTCTTTGCGTTAATGAAAAATACATTTTTTTCTCTACAAAGGAATCTTTTCTAATACAAGAAAATAAATATTGCAACATAAGCCAAAAATAATTTAAAATTGCTCTTTTCAATATATTTTCAATATTTCTCTTGTATATTAACAAATGGCACATCACTTTCTTTGAAACAAGGACAGAAGGTGTCTCCTCCTGTGACATTCATATCATCCCCCCACCCCGAGCCGCTTGAGGAGCACAGAGTGTTGTGCATCTGAGGGACAAGGTGGCAGGAAGTGCCTTAAAGAACAACCAAAAGTCCCAGACTCCAGCCCTGGCCCTTTGGCCAATGTGGCCAACTGGGCCAGGGGCATGGAAGTGGCCTCCCCAAGGGCCTTCCTACAGGCATCCAGACCATTCTGCAGAGCTTCAGGCATGGGCAGAGGTTGGCCACATCTGGCAGTGAGCAAGGAAATGCCAAGTTCAGCCGCTGCCAATGTCTGCTAGTATCGTTGGCCAGTCAATGCTCCAGAAATCGCCCCAACAGGTCCTGTAACGTGCCCAAACGCGACACACAGACACGCACCCACGTGGACACACGAGACGCGCCCTGGCACATACACGCCTACAGTCGGGCACTCACGTCTGGAAACCCGGGTGGCTTCTCTAAGGAAACCGAGACCCTGACACAGAAAATGTTCACACACTGTCACAGAGTCAGAGCTCATTTAATAAAATAAACCCTTCTACCTTTCTTCTCCTTATTCGCTTTAAAATACATTTTGTGATTCATAAAAATACTTTTCCTTGCACCCCGTCCTTCCTGGCTGTGAGGAGGGGGAAGAGGGGCTGTGCAGCCAGGACTAGGAGAAGGGGGGACGGCAGCCAGAAGGAGTAACAGGAGCTTCTCCCTCCTGGGAGAGGGCAGCGAGTGTGGTGGGCAGAGGTGCTCAAGCAAAGTATCTGCCTCGGCCTCTGGCCTGCAAAAGGCCTTCTTTCTCCCTTCTTCCCTCCTTCCCACCTCAACACCAGGGCTGGCAAAGCTGTCTGCACTGGACAGGAGACGGGAAGAAGAGGAAGGGGCTGTGGCTGACGGTGGAAACCAGAGTCCTTGTCCTCCGTGTGGTCTTGCTGGACATACCAGAGGCGGACAGCTGCCTGGCAAGAACAGCTCTAGGGCCAGGCCTGGGAGCGCAGGTCCCCCCACCTCCTCCCACAGCTAGCCTAACGGATCCCGGATTCCTGCACCCCTCCCAACCGCCCCCCCCTCCCCCGCCGCAGGACACAGCCTCAGACATAGTCCAGTCCAAAGCAAGAGCCAACACAGCAGAGGATCCGGAGGCCAGCTTGGGCGGAGGCCCCCTGAAGGGTGCTGGCTGTCCCGCCTGACGTGCCCGGACCACACCCTGGCCAGACGCGCCACGGTAGGTACATTCCTTCCCCTTTCTCTCCTGTCCTTGCCTCTGCCCCCAGGGAGCCCGGACTCTGCCTCAGGATGCATGAAGGGATGGTGGGGGGAGAGGCAAGCCTACTGGGCCGGAGGCATTCCTGGGACCCCACCCCTCCCCCTGGCTGAGTTTGGTTGTTCTTTAAGCTCATCCCTTGGCTCCCTGGGAGGTCAAACCGGGCAATCCGGCACAGACAAGACTGTGGCCCAAAGCACGGGGAAGGGCGGAGGACTATTCAAAGGCAGTAAACAGAGAACGGGGAGGGGCCGCTGGTGCGGACACTGCACTGGCCGTTACTACCACGGCGGCAGGCACACTCAACTCCACATGGTAGCTCATGCCGTCTCAGCGCCCAGAATCCTTGAAGCCCACCCCGAGTCCACTCCAATCGGACACATTTGCCCGATCTTCTGAACTTAGTCCTAGCGCTGTTTCCCATCTTGCTAAAATTCACATGAAACCGAGTGTCGATGACAGTGCCACTGTCGTACCTTGAAAGTTCTGGAGGCGGGGGTGGGTGGTCAAGCTGCTGCCCGTCCCGCCGATTTGCACGTTGCGTGTTTGTGTGGGGGGGAACCACATGGTGAAGACCTTGCCATGCTGGTTTTGCCGTCCGTATTCATCCCCTCTGTGGGTCTCAGAGTTTAGGAAAGCTCACAGCGGGCCGGGCCCAGGATCTGAAATGCCAACACCTGGTTCCCACGTCCCGATTCCAACGGTTCAGCAGCAGAACAGCGTCCTCTTCCAAGAGCCTGGGCTCATCTCCTTGGGTGTGTGCAACGAACAGGTCTCCACACTGTGTTGCTAAAGAACTCCGTTAAAAAAAAAAAAAGTCCAAGTGACAAGTTATCAGGTCCAGGCTGTGCTGTATTATGGTCAAAATATTCTTTGGCATCCACAGAATGATTCGACTGATTCACTGGACTTTTGCAAGGTTCTGGTCGGCGAAGTTCTGGCTTCACCAGTGGCGGAAGTGACCCAGGAGTAATTCATAAAAGAAAAAAAACCATGTTTTCACTGAATTCCTTTTTTTTGTTTGTTCCCTGAGCTATCACCCTGGGGCCACTCCCCTGACAACTTTTCAGAGCAAAAGGTTCTAGTTACCTGGAACCTAGGGGGTGGGACGGAAAAGGCGGGGTGGGTGGCAGCGGGTAAGGAGGGCAGAGCCAGGGAAGGGGGTAACGGCTCACAGGGACGGAGGAACCAGGAACATCCAGCAAGACTTCAAACAGACACAGCAGGCCGACATGGCCGGCCCTGGGCCCCGGGATCCCACTTGCTTGTTGGAAGGAGGGGTTTCCGAAAGGAAACTGAGGAAGAAGCTCATCTCGTAGCAGGATTGGAAAATCTGAAAAGGCAAACGGTCTGGTCTGGTCAGGTCAGCTGTCTGGGAGTGACCAGATGTCAGCCGAGACTGGCCCCGAAGGAAGGAAGGAAGTTGGAGCCCCAGAGCAATTCTCGAAGTGGGGGGAGTCTGAGCCCCACGCCCCTATCTGGGCACTGGCCCTCCCTTGCAGCCCTCCACCGGCACTGGCGGCTGGCTGTTTGGGAGTCCCCTGAGTAAATGGCACAGCTCAGAAAGGATTCTAGGAACCCCTTCTCAGAGCCGCCGGGCTGGGCACTGGCAGGGGTGGAGCAGCAAGGGAGTGGAGGGTCACGGGGTGGGCGGGCAGGCCTCAGATGATGTGGGTTGATCAGGAACAGCTGTGGTTCCTCTGGAACCAGCGGGCCCTCAGCGACCCCTCAGTGCTTTCTTGTATAAGCTCGTTGTGCTTGTGACAGTGAGTAGACTCTGGCTGGGGATCGCTTATTATACTTCCTTGGGGATCAGTGGAGTGCAGCAGGACCCCCCAAATGGACCCCAGTGGAATTTGGGGACAAGGCGGGGCAGGCCGTGGGCTGGCCCATCTGCCGTGAGATAATGCCCAAACGACGGTCTGTGTCACCCAGTGGCAGCGGGCTGGCGTCCTGAGCTCTTCTTCGCCTCGCCTACATCTAGCCAGGAGCCCGGCAATGTCGCCTGGGCCGGGGCAGGGTGCTGCCGCGGCGGGGATGGAACACAGGACCCGCTAGGGCCCCTGCGGCCAGAGCCGTGGAAGGAATTCTAATGTCCTAGGCCAGCACAGAGGAAAGACAACAGTGTGGAATTCAAAACTCTCTCTATATTAAAAATAACACCACAACAGAGTGGCAGTCTCAAGGGTCTGAGACACTCAGCAGAGATTGGAAATGGCAGTTGTGACTGGGCTGAGGCCTCGTGGGAGGACCAGGGCAGGGCCTGGGACAGGACGGGGGTGGCTTAGGAGGCCAGTACCCCCATGCGGACTACCTCCTCAGCCCCTGCTTCCCGGGGAGCCCGCTGTACCCCACTGTCCTCAGCTTCCACATCTGAGTCGCTCATCTCCCCATCAGAGAAGTAGCCGTCAGTCTCAGTGTCAAAGTGTAGGCTGACCTTGGGCCTCTCGGCCACAGCAGAGGGCGGTCCTGTCCCAGCATCAGGCCTGGTACCTGGCGATCTCCGGGTTCCCTTGTTTTCACGGGGCAGCCGGAGCCGGCCCAAGGGCTTGGGGCTCACTGCAGGGCCAGGCACTTGGACATTCGAGTCGGCAGCCATTGGGGCTGCCTCGTCCGGGGTCTCGGGGGCCAGAGCGGGGGGGCTGTCGGGGGCTGCTGGGATGGGACAGTCCCCAGCCGTGGGGCTGGACGGCAGGTGGGAAGGCGTTCGCCGCGTTGGTTTCCGGGCCACTAGCCCCTGGCCCCCCTTGCCGCTGCCTGCATCCTGGCCCCAGGGCTTCTTGGGGGATTTGTCCAGAGCCGTCCGTGAGCCAGGCCCATCCTGCGGTGGCTTCTTCTTGGCAGGCAGGCGGGTGCGGCCACGGGCCTTCCTGGCAGGGTCCCCGGGTCGCAGCGAAGGGTCTCGCATGAAGCTCAGCAGTGTCTCCTCGTCCTGCAGCAGCTCCTCCGACAGTAGCCCCGGAGCGGGGTCTTCGCGGTGCCCATTGTTCAGTGACCACTCACTCATGGCCATGTTCTCTGCTGTGATCTGCACCGACTGCGCCAGCCAGCTGTTGAAGAAGGTGCCATCGATGGGGAATGGGGTGGACAGGCCTGGCCGAGGGGAGAGAGGAAGCAAGTGAGACACTTGCAGGTGCATGCCACCCCCTTTCAGGAGGCCCTCTTGGACCCTCCCCAGCAGGCTGCTGTGCACCTGTCTCCCTCTCGTCTTCTTGCCAGACCCAATTGAGCCATCTTGTTTTGCTAATCCCTCCTGTCAACACCACCAAAGAGGGTCCACACCATATGCCCCTCTCCCCAGGACGACCTACTCCCAGAACTGGCTTCATGATTTGGAGTGCAGAGTGCAAAGTGAAAATGCGGGCTCCCTCTTCAAAAATTATTAAGAGAGCTCAAGGTGACAACAGTAGAGCATTAAACCAAGCAAGAGCCCTTTGAGAATGCACAGGTACACCCATGAAGCCGGCTCTGCACCACCCCCATCCCGGGGATACAGAGGATGAAGGAATGAAGGAAAACACCCTCAGGCCACCAGGGGGCGCTGGGTTTTTTATGAGAATCACTTCGGAAGCAGAGAAGCAGAGATGTTGGATAAGAGAATCAGGTGTAAACAGGGTAGCAAAGTGCATTTGAGTAGAAGGTCCCTCTTGGATGTCAGAGCCAGCAGGTGAGACTGGGCCTTCCTTTGGATACCCAAATGGCTCCCTTTCTGACACTGAGGGACATACAAGATGACCTGAGGCTTCCCTGCTGGAGAGAGGTCTGGAAGATTCCGTTGTCATCCCTGAGAAGTGTTCTAGGGGAAGCATGTGATACCTGGGGAGAGAAAGCCCAAAGCTGGGGGTGGGGGGAGCGCTCAAGGGCTGTTCTGCTTCATGTAGGAGCAGGGAGGAGGCTGTGATTCACCGCGTGCTGGGTCAATACCTGTGGTTACTCCTTTGGGTCTGAGTGGCTCCAGGAAGGCTTCCTGGTGCTGAAGTGAGGGCTCATTTGAGAAATTCCAGCAGTGGGACCAGGGTGGAGAATTCTGGCTGACCCTCATCTCTCAGCATAGGGCTGCATTCTGGAAGGGTCCAGAGGGCCCGCATGTCCCTTGAGGGCCTCCAGGACTCTGGCTAAGAGAATGTGAAGGCAGCTCCTGAGCCCCTGGGCCCACCTCCACATGTACAAAAGGGGAATTTCTCGGGATGCCAGAAAGGACACTGAGACCTATCTAGTTTCCTTTATGGCTAAAAGGTGTGATCGCCTGAGCACGGAATGGCCTGGTTAGCCAACCCTCTTGGGCTTCCTACTCTGTCCAACAGAGGTGCTGGTGGACCCTGCTGGCCTTAGAGGGCTTCAAGGGGAGTGATGATGTGAGCCCAGCCATGTCCACCAGGCCAGTGCGGCCACTCACTCACCCAGTTGCCCCAGGACCGAGTCAGGCCCCGCTTTCACTTTCTCTTTCTTCTCAGGGCTGCCCTTCGGGCCCTCGCGGCCTTTCCTTTTCGAGTCGCTCTTCTTGCCCTTTGCTCTCCTCCCAGACCCTTCTGCCAGGGAAAGAGAGAGCAGAAGGGAGGCGGTTACTCCGAGCAGCTCAGCCAAAACCAACATCACTATGGGCCATCCTAGGAATCCTCTATCACCTGTGCCTCAACTTCAAGGTCACCTTGCCCTGCTGATGTGCCCTAGGCTCAGAGCCCTGAAGACCTGGGATAAGTGGGCTCCTGTGAGTCAGGGACAGCTGGTGGGGAACAGAGAGGTAAGTGCATACCGCTGCCCTTGAGTGGCTTGGGGAGGGCACAGGGCCACAAAGGGGGTGGAGGACCCTCCCCCAGGACCTGGAATACAGTCTAACATCTACATGGCCTATAGATATGATGGGAGGTCGGGGTGAGTCCTAGTGGGTGCAAAGCGTAGCTACACCTGGCGGGTGCCAAAGCCAGGACAGGGCCTTCAATGCTAGGCCGACGGGCCAGACATGGATGTGGAGAGAAGTCTGAGGGCTGTCTGAGGAATAAAGAGACGTGGGTTCTAGTCTAGCCACAGTGGTCAGCCCCATGAGCAAGTCTCCTGCCTTGGTTTCCTGGTCTGTTCTTGAGGTCACACAGCAGATGGCAGACTCAGGCTGCACACCTGGCCCTCATATCCTTAGATATGACATAGGTCTAGGGAGCTACTGAGAACACTGAAGCGGGAGAGGGATATCTGCATGGGGAAGGCCCAGCTGCCAGAAATCTTCTCCTAGTTTTTCAGCAGGAAGCTGAAGCGCTTCTCAGATAAAGGTTTACAAGAAGTCTGAGGGACATGGACTCTGCCCAGCTGTGCTGCTAATCCCCCACGCAACCTCAGAATCCTCATCTCTGACATGGGACCCTGCCTATATGCTCTGGAGGGAGACTTCTACGGTTCCCCACAGCCCTCAGGGAAGTCTGAGCTCCTTCTGAGGCCACATACATCTTGCACGTCTGATCCTAGCGAGCCCCCAACCTCACTTGAGACATGGTCCTCTTACCCAGGTTGCTGCTATGCCAGCCTTCTAGTTTCTCTAAAAAGACAACCTCCGACCTCTAGGATTCTAAATTGTCCTGCTCTTCAACTGGTTCAGCTCACAGCCTAAATATTGCTGCGACAGGAAGGCTGCTCCAGCACTCTGGCCAGACAGGCCTCGACAACATGCTTGTAGCCATGTCCCCATCCCATGGGTCAAGTGTCACCACACAGAGGGCATGAGCTTCGGGCAGATGGAAAACCAGTCTTCTCCCCACATGCCCTGCTCTGAACAGAGGGCCGCCTGATGCTGCCACTCAGGTCTAGGAGCTGCAAATGTCCCCAGATTCAGTGTGACGATGCGGACCTGGCTCTTGACCTCGTTCCTGGAATCCTGTGCCTGAGGGTACTGCATGCCTTGCCACTTTCTGTTACCCTGATTGTGGACCTCTCCTTCTGCAGCTGGACCTCTCGCCACTGCAAGGTCCTAGGAAGCTGGACACCTAGCTCCAGGATCACCACTGCTATGAAGCCACCCTTGGTGGCTTGGACAGATTACTTCTGTCCCTGCATTGGTTCCAACTGCAGCCCCTTGGGCACCACTTTCCTTTATCTTTCCAGATGGTGAGCTCCACACACAGGAAGCCTATCCATCCCGTCCATGGCAGCGTACCCCGCAGTACCCGGCACAGGGCCTGGCATCCTGTCTACAATCAGTTAATACTCACTGAAAAAAATCAACAGAGGAGGGGGCACCTGGGTGGCTCAGTCGATTAAGCGTCTGACTTTGTCTTAGGTCATGAGCCCATGGTTCGTGGGTTTGAGCCCTATGTCGGGCTCTGTGCTGACAGCTCAGAGCCTGGAGCCTGCTTCAGATTCTGTGTCTCCCTCTCTCTCTGACCCTCCCCTGCTCATGCTGTCTCTCTCTCTCTCTCAGAAATAAATAAAACATTTAAAAAATATATTTAAAAAAAATCAACAGAGGAGAAGGAGCCTGGAGAGCTCTGGCGGCCAGGTTGGTAAGCATGGTAAGCTCTGACCTTTGCATGGACATGACCCGGCCTACACTAGGACCTGTATTTGGCAGCGCTGGTGTCTTGGGCCAGCATACGTGGTGATCCCAAAGTGCAAATGAGGCAGCTTGGCTCAGGCAAGGGTGGGGCGGTACCAGGTCCTCAGTCATTCGTTCTGGGGGTGGCCCAACAGCTCAGGTTCCTCTCCACTCCAGGTCTAGCTGGACCCTGAGGCTGAACTTTGCAGTGGCAGCTCCTGGCTCAAAAATCTCGCACCACCGAGCTGGATGTAATTCAACACCAGAAGACCTTTTCCTGAGTTAAGCATTGCCCTCCTGAACATGTAAACACTCTGGGAAGGGCCCTGTGTCTGGCAACATCCACACAACTAGAAGAAAACAGTAATGCTGGAGGTTCATTGGCCTCTGATTTCTAGATCTGCTAAATGCATGTGATGGGAAGAGTTTAAGAAGAAAACGGAGAAAAAGAACTGCTAGTACAGCATCTAAATTTTCTCAGATGAGGTCAGAGACAAAGAACACAGAAGCCCTCTTCCATCTCTGGAGCAGCTGCCTGATTCAGGATCAACACGGGTTCAGGGAATCCCTCTAGCTTCTGGAACCTTACTGTCCCAGCACCAGCCTAGAGCCACTGTGCACATACAATCAACTGCACTGCTATGGCCCTGGAACCACCTAGGTGTCCCCAGTGGACCAGAAAGCTTCCTCCGGAGAGGCCTGACGCCCACATTCCCATCTCTGGCTCCCTGCCAATCAACATACAACTGAGGCCCCCGGGAGGTCCCATCCTGGCCTACTAATTGGTTCTGGAGGGTCTGTGTATGGGCCAGCGACCCCAGGCCCCATGCACATGCTCCCATCAGGACTTGAAGACCCATACCCTCCTTGGGACCTGGCCTTTTGAGAGCATGTACACCGAGTGGTGGCTGGCAGTGGGCAGGGAAGACGCCTACCTCGACACAGGTCCTGTTCGATCAGTTTCATCTGCAGGTGGAATATTTGCTCCTGGAGTTTGCAGATGGCATGTTTCGTTCTCTCGCGCCTTGTCACCATGTAGCACAGATTTCTAACCTGAGGAGACAAGAGAGAGGTTTTCCACTTTACTCATGGGCAGCTACCCCTGGCCTCCCGGCTCTGGGTGAGGGGGCGGGGTGGGGGGGGGAAGCACTGCTGTCTAACCTGACTGGAATCAATCAATCTAGGAATCAATTCCCAAGCCTTGAGTGTGTCCTCAGCCCTGAGCCACAGTTCTCCGGTCCAAAACACAGGCCAAACACAGCATTGATCCCGCGGCCCTCACTGAGCCAGGGCTGGCAGGGGGAGCATCTGGTTAACTCATGCTGGTGACTCTACTTGCCTCCCCTAGGCATAAACTTCCTGGCCATTCTGCCATGCTGCCCCTGTGACTGCCCTCCCCTACCTTCACACTGCCAAGGATCACTGGGGCACGCAAGGTCACCAAGTCCATCCCTCTGCCTCCTGGCCAAGGCCTCTTGTCCATCAAAGAGATTCCTCAGCCGCAAACACCACGGCAAGGCCAGCTCCTATCCTGAGACACAGATGGCCATGGAGCACAGAGCAGAGAGAGCCCCAGCAAAGCGGCTTCGAGCAGACAGGCAGTCTCTGACCCCTGCGGCTGAGCCACGTCCACTTGCTGCACTAGGACCTGAGGCAAGCCCATGCCTGCTCTGGCCAAAGCCCCTCCACATGGCTATGTTCCCTCGGCCAGAGACAGAAGTTCTCAGGGGGAAAGGCAGGGGCCTCTTCGACTGCCTGAGGACAGCTAGGAAGAGGGTCTAGTGCCTGGGAGACCAGTTTGCTTAGGTCTGCAGCTGTTCTGCAAGCACCTGGAGGACGGGCCATGTTGCTCCCTGCCCACCTGGTGCCTTTCCCCAGTGTGCCATCCCCTCGTGGCTGTTCTCAGAATACATCACACTTCAGGGGCCAAAACCAGGCCCCTCCCTCAAGACATTTCCTTGTTCCGCCATTGTCTTCAGCTCAGGTGGAAACCTCCCAAGCAGGGAAGGCTGGCCAGAAGCTGTGTGCTGGAATTCTGGGTCCCGCCAGGGTCTGTGCAGCTGAGGCCTGTACTTCCGTCTGCAGATGGGTTCCATCTTCAAAGTGGAGTTCAGGCTTCATGACCTTAAGTTGCCTGGGGGAGATGTATGGGTTCTAGAGGCCCTGCCTGTTACCATGACCTCCATTTCTCCTGGCCTGGGGGTAGCTGTGATCACACCTCTCTGCAGACATGGATGTCCTCCCTTCCTTCCTGAGCCCAGAAGGACTTCTCCTGGGGTGAAGGAGATACCAGAATGCCGGCTCCAGGCTCTGTACCACACTGATGTGTGCACCCAGCCTAGACCACGGACATGGGCATACAAGGCCAGCATCTCCCCAGAGCAGCAGCCCCTGGCCCCAGCCTAAGAGCCCTTGCTTCCTCTCAAATGCTAGACTTCCTCAGGAGCGCCTCATAATCACACATCCCTAAGCACAAGCCGTGGTTCTGGGGACTCATGCGATGTCAGGCCCTGGGCTCAGCAGCAGGCAATGCCATCAGGTCCCTTTCTTCTGAGAGCTTGCTGCCCAATAGGGCAGAGAGATGCAGAGTAAGTACTGACAGGACTAGGCAGCCCTGACCCAGACTTGGGCTAGCGAGAGGGCTTCCTGGACAAAGGGACAGCCAGGCTGAGTGGATGTTGATCACACAGAGGTGCACAGGCTGGGGCCGAAGATCCAGAGTAAGGCTAGGCAGGGAAGATGGCAGAACAAGGCCTTGTGTCTACAGTGCTGGGCTGAGGGGAGCTGGGAGTGGGGAGGGGTGGGGCGAGGCAGAAGTGCTAAGATCCTGGCATCACCCTTCAGGACCTAGCTCTTCCTCACTCGACCCCAGAGCCACCCCTTCAGTGTGCCCCATGAGTCCCTGGTGAACCTAATTCTTTCCCATCAGTCCCCTCCATTTCCTGGTCACCTGCACTGGCTCTACCTGGACAAGCAGGCATTCTGACCCCTCTGCTATCCATATCATCTTCTTAAAATGTAAATCCTTTCCCTCTTAACACCTCCACTGGTTTCCCTACTGGGTTGAACAGTGCCCCCTGCCAAATTTTATGTCTACCTGGAACCTCACATATAATCAGTTAAGATGAGGTCACACCAGATGTTAATGAGTTCTAAATCCAATGACTGGTGTCCTCATAAAGACCATGCGAAGACACATAGAGAGAGAATGGTATGTGACAAAAGAGGCAGAGATGGAATCACGGATCTACAAGTCAAGAAATGCCAAGGGTTGCTGGCAATCAGAAGCCAGGAGAGAGGCCCCGAACAGATCCTCTGTCAGAGTCTCTAGACAGAATCAACATTGCCAACATCTTGATCTTGGATTTCTGACCTCTAGAACTGTAAGAAAACATATTTTGGGGCGCCTGGGTGGCTCAGTCGGTTAAGCATCCAACTTCAGCTCAGGTCATGATCTCACGGTTCGTGAATTCAAGCTCTGTGTCAGGCTGTGTGCGGACAACTCAGAACCTGGAGCCTGCTTCAGATTCTGTCTTCCTCTCTCTCTGTCCCTCCCCTGCTCGCACTCTGTCTCTCTCTCTCAAAAATAAATGAACATTAAACAAAAAATTTAAAAAAAAAAGTCACCTCCAGAAGGCCTTCCCTGTCCACTGCATCCAAGCAGCCCAACATTATTCTCCCTGAAACCTGGTCTGCTTTCCTCCTGGCAGTCACATGACTTCATGTGCATGGGGAACATGGGGGTGAAGAGAGGTGGACAGACTTATGACTTTGGAGGTCTCAAAACAAACCAGTCAATACATCCAACCTAAAAACAGATCAAAGTCCAGCTTTTAAAAAATTTCCCAAACATGCCACAACCGAACTTAACTCTAACACTAATCCCTAAAGATGACATGAGCCTTAGAGTTGCAGGCGTCCCCCTCAAAGAAGTCAATATTCATCACTTCCTATTAAAATACAGATTTTTTTTTTTGGTCTTTCTTCTGAAACTTTACAAAAAGGTTTCTCACGGCAAACCCAAATGAATTACTGGCATCAAGATCCCTGGGGTGGCTGGTTAGAAACACACATTCCCTGGCTTGGGGGAAGGTGAAAGTCTTTGGGGGCTGTGTCCTTAAATATATTATTTTATATAGCATTACAGAATCTGAGAATTAGTGCTCTAGGCCCCTGGCTACTGAGTTAGATAGTTCATTATGGCATAGGAAGGAAATATTAAAATATCTACTGATACATTTTTTTTTTAAAAATATTTTAATGTTTTATTTATTTCTAGGAGAGAGAGAGAGAGAGAGACAACGTGAGCAGGGGAGGGTCAGAGAGAGAGGGAGTCACAGACTGAAACAGGCTCCAGGCTCTGAGCTGGCAGTCAGCACAGAGCCCGACGCGGGGCTCGAACCCACGAACTGTGAGATCATGACCTAAGTGAAAGTCGGACGCTTAACCGACTAAGCCACCCAGGCGCCCCTACTGATACATTTTTTGATCCAATTAGAAATTCTGACTATGTCTGTTTCATGAGATGCAGTGGTAGATATGAGTAAGCCATGAAAAATAGAATACATTGCAGGTAAATGTTCCATGTTTTTCCTGAAACATTGAAATACATTTCTTGTGGATCCTCTGACCAGATCTCCCCTTAACACCCCTGTTCTCTGGCTCCCTCTGTGAGTGCACGACACAGTCGGTACTATCTGCAGATTTCTGCTAGGGAAGATAGGAGTGCTTCTTTCTGTAAGAATCCCAACAATACCAACCTTCTGTGGTTGGTACACTGGCCAGGATGTGACCCCTTGTTCCCACCTCACCCTGGAACCATCAATAACTTCTCTAATTTCTCTCAAGACTGATGGTTACAAGGGGCGCCTGGGTGGCTCAGCCGGTTAAGTGTCTGACTTCGGCTCAGGTCATGATCTCACAGTTGTGGGTTTGAGCCCTGCATAGGGTTCTGTGCTGACAGCTCAGAGCCTGGAGTCTGTTTTAGATTCTGTGTCTCCCTCTCTCTCTGCCATTCCCCCACTAGTGCTCTGTCTTGGTCTCAAAAATAAATAAAACAAAAACAATTTTAAAAAAGACTGATGGTTACATAGCTACATGTTACTGAATGTTGTAGAGTTCCTCTTTTGTGATGGCTTTTGGGGACCAAGTATTGATACCACCTTAGAAGTTCACCCTGGCTATTAGGTTCCTGACACTGTCATTACTGTTTTTTTCGGATTTTAAACATAGAAAGTTCTCTTTTAAAAAATAAGAGTGGGGTGCCTATGGGGCTCAGTCAGTTGAACGTCCGACTTCAGCTCAGGTCATGATCTCATGGTTTGGAGTTCAGGCTTCACATCAGGCTCTGTGCCGATAGCTCAGAGCCCACTTTGGATCCTCTGTCCCCTTCTCTCTCTGCCCCTCTTGCATATGTGCTCTCACTTTCTCTCTCTCTCAAAAATAAGTCAGAGTCAAAAAAATGAATGAAGTAGCAAAGTCTCCCCAAACTAGGGATTGGTAGTAAAAGCAGGCTTTTTACATTCTGATGAAACTGTTTTGCTATCAGTAAGTTTTACAGAGTGAAATGTGGGTGAGGAGAGTGGAGGGCCAGGGAGGGCTCCCAGCCAGCTATCCTGAACTAGACTGGACTAGTGTTGGGGCATCTGTGGAGACTAGGGAGGTTGGGGGGGGTGGGCAGGCTTGGACCTGTGGGAAATTGGGCAAGAGATGCTGGTGCTCAGAAGGGAGTGTGGGCTGGACCAGCTCCTGATGAGGAGCAGACCACTGAGAGGTCAGACTGAGTGTGGTGAACTGATGATCACTGGGGCCAAGGAACACTCACAGAGGGAGCCGGAGAACAGAGGTGTTAAGGGGGGATCTGGTCAGAGCATCCACAAGAAACGTATTTCAAGACCAAAGGCGTACCTGACTGTGGTAACCATTGCTCAGAAGGCTAGAGGGTGAGGATGGGGAAGTGGCCACTGGATGTAGGCCATGGGAGGCTGTTGGTGGCCCTGGTAAATGGCAGTGGCAGAAGCCTGGCCAGGATGACAGGAAAGAACAGATGGGGATGAGGGTAGAGGGTCCCATCCCTGGAGGGACATGAGGAGGGAGGATGTCCTTTCAGAAATGGGAGAAGGTAAAGTAGATTCAAATACTGGAGGCTGGGGCACCTGGGTGGCTTAGTCGGTTAAGCGTCCGACTTTCGCTTAGGTCATGATCTCGCGGTTCGTGGGTTCGAGCCCCGCGTCGGGCTCTGTGCTGACTGCCAGCTCAGAGCCTGGAGCCTGTTTCAGAGTCTGTGTCTCCCTCTCTCTCTGACCCTCCCCTGTTCACGCTGTCTCTCTCTCCTAGAAATAAATAAAACATTAAAAAACAAACAAACAAACAAACAAATACTGGAGGCTGAGCAGGCATGAAGGGAAGGCCGACTCCCTTGCTGCAGGGTAGGCATTGAGGGAAGGGGAGATGGGGTAAAAGGGGCAGAGAATCGATAGGGAGGGCTCTACAGGTGGGAAGCTGGAGGGGTCTCGTCTGATGAACAGGAGGTGAGATCGAGGGCCCACAAGGGGGAGCCCTGAGGGAGGCGGAGCCAGGGCGCAGACTGGGGAGTCCAGAATGTCCAAGAACAAGGCTGGCTGACAGGAACCTTGGTAGAGCTTACCTGCTCACCACCATAGGATTCTTACCAGGTGAGGCTCTGCCAGGTACGTGGCCTTCACACAGGGGCAAGGGCACGGGCAGTGAGCTAATAATGCCACATGGAGCGGGAGTGAAGAAAGCAGGGGACAGTAAAGAGTGGGGAGGCTGGAAGCAGGGAGACAGGAGGCTGAGTAGGAAGGGGGATGTGTGGATGCAGGGTTACTGACGAGGGAGCACTTTGAGGTGGCGACAGGGTTTCAATGAGGTGCGGACACTAATGGGTTGGAAATGTTGTAGAGATGGGAGATACAGTGGCCGAGGAGCCAGAGTTCTGGAAGCCAAGGCTGCCTGGGACAAGGTAGGCTTTGGTGGGAGGCCAAGGAGAACACAATCCGGGCACTGAGGACAGAGTAAATGGGGTATGACCAACGTGACAAGGAAGCAGATGGGTGGCAAGTGTGAGGGAGGGCGGGGCCTTCTCCCTAGGAGAAAAAATGGGGCCTCGGGGAGCTCCCACGTGTCCATCCTCAGGGAGGGGGGTGAATGTCTGAGAGCTGCCCCCACCTTCCCAGGCCGGGTCATGCTCTTGAGTGAACTCCTGGTAACTGGATCCAGAGGCACAGGCGCGGAGGCCCTGTGCAGCTCGAACTGCCAGCACGGTTGCTAGGGGACACCAGTCGGCGTGTGACAGGCTGCTCATCAGCACCGCAATTTTTTTGTCAGCTGTGAATAACTCTGGGAGACGGCGGTGGCCATGCTTTCCTGAGCTGCCTGCTGAGGCCAAGGCCTGCGGCTGAAGTTTTAGGAAAACACGTAAAGGCTGATCATAAAATGGGACTTCAGGCTAGTGGCTGCAGCGTGGCCCTGCTTCTGCTTCTGGCCTGGCCTTGTGGGACACATCCATCAGGGGGGATGGCCTGTGTTTCATTCCCAGGTCCAAGCACTGGGTCCATGCCTTCAGTCCTCCACGGAGCCCCTCTATGCAAGCCGCCCGCTCTTCTAAGGGCCAGAACAGCAACAATAACCACGACGTACAGCAGAGGACACTGTACTCCCACCACCACTGTGACTCCAGCATCAGCTGGCACCTTATTCCCATTTTACAGAAAGGAAACTGAAACTCAGAAGGCACAGAGCCGGAAAGTGCTGGAACTGGATGCAAACCCACAACTGCCCAATGCTTCAGTCTCAACCCCAACCTTAGCTCCCTGATGGATGCAGCCCAAGCTGGCCTGGTGCCCAGTCAGAGGCTGGATACTCTCGGCTGTTGGCACTAGGCCACGGCCGGGCCACCACCAGTCATGGGTCTCTGCAGAAAGCCTCCCTTGTGGCAGAGCTCTCAGCCCTGTTCACTCATGCAAGCCACCAACGCGTGGCCGTAAAAGGCCCCACGGCTAGACCTGGAGGGGGTCAAGCTGGCACAGGGCTCTCTGACTCTCCCCAGCTTGCCAGGGCTGCATACCCACTCGCCTCAGTCTCAGCCGGTGCCTGCCAGTCCAGCTCAGGGGCTGCTGGAGAAGCATTCTGACAGGGCCCTCCTGAGTCCCGAAGAGCTGCACAGACTTCAAAGTCGGCCCTGTCTCCTCTTGCTGGCGGAAGAGTGGGTTGGTTCATGCCTGACTTTGGAGAGTCCGACCAGAGGCCTCTCTGCAGGGCAGCTCTGGTTGCCTGGGATGTTGCCTTGACCTTGACCCCTTGGCCCCACTTGTACCAGCTGACAATGAGGTCCAGAGGCTGGGGGATGCTTTTGCTCAGGAAATGCACAGAGTAGGTTAAGCCAACAACTCTCCTGATGAGAAACCCCACCCCCCATCCAGGTCCAAATTCAACTCAAACCCTAGAAAACACTAATTCCTCTAAAGCTTTCTGTCATTAATTTTCCAGAGTCCTCGTTTCTTTACCTGCTCATTAGGACCGGGAGGATCTACTTTGCCTCTTTCTTCAAGATAATGATTAAATAAGTAACCCTGTACCCAGGCCTCCCTACATGGCCCCAGCGGAGCCAGTGGGCTGACCAGCATGACCAGGAAGGTCAGACCTAAGGGGTCATTTGGGAAACAGCGGGGGTAACAGCAGGGTGTTGTCCTAGAGACCTGGAGGGTGCAGACTCAGGGGTGGCCAGAGGACAACTCTGGACGCAGCTTTGGTCTCTGAAAGTACTCGATGTCCCAATGTACCTGATACCACTGCCACATGACACAGGAGGCTGAGCTGCCCAGGAAGTAGGGGCTGCAATGTAGATGGCTTTGCCCTCAGCCCTGGCTGGAGCCAGGGACATCTGGTGTCCCCACTCTGCACCTCCCCCTTCTGACCTGGTGGCAGGCTGGCTGCCAGGCAGTTAGGCTTCCTCTCAGGCCATCGGGGTCATTTCACCCTGACCAGGCCTCAGGGCAGAGGAGTAGGGCTAAAGGAGACTGGGGAAGCCAGGTCCAGTTTCAGAGCCTCTACCTCATGTTCGCCTCAACACAGCACAACACCTGCCAGGTTGTTCTACCCATTTTACAGACTCGCCAACAGAGATAGACATAAGAAAAGCAGTTGCCTCAGGTCATACAAAGCCCCCTCAATGCTTCCATTCAGGACTGCTTCCTCACAAGGAAGGAGAAAAGGGGAAAGGACAGACGTTGTGTGTCTGTGCTCATGCATGGAATATATTATGACATGATCCCACGTGCTGTTGAACCCCAGAACTGAATGTCCCTAAAACAGGCCCTGGGGTTCAGAGAACATCCTGTTTCATCTTTGAGTTGCCTCCAACTTGGTGGTGCTATGTTAGGTGCTGGAAGTAACACAGTGGGAAAGTAAAGTCAAGTTCAAGGGCATATGCCACGGAAGGTGGAACCTCATCTTTTTTTCTGGGGTAGTAGGAGGGAGTGGAACCTGTGGAGGGCTCCCATGCTCCAGGAGGAAAGCAACTCTCACTCTCCCTTAACCACCACAAATTACCCCAAAGCCACGGTGTCTCATCTTACTCTGCCCCCAGAACTACCACCCTGGATCAAGCCAAGACCACCTATCTCCTTAGTACAGAGCTGAGGGCGGCTTCAGCCAACCCATTCACTGGCTGCCCCTCAATTCATTCTCAGGGGGACTCTTTGGAAGTTGCAGCCACAGAGGGACAGTCACTGCTTAAAACATTCTGCAGCTTCCACACACACTTTGGTCCACCCACTCAGCTTCATCCTTATAGTCCACACAGGCTGACTGTGCCTCCAGCCTACCCATATGCCCCCACGCCCCACGTTAACACCTGTCATCCCTGCCCTGGCCCAGCACATGCCTGGCGGGCTGATATAACTTGCTGCAATTCCCAGTTCCTCCCCTGCCTCCAATTCCAAGCTGAAGCTCATGTGTTGGGAACAGGCATGGCCCACGGAGGCCACTAATGGGGACAGAGGCCAGCAGAAGCTGGAAGCCTGGGTTGTGCCCCAGCTCTGATGTCCTAGAGCCTCAGGAACGTAGCAAGGTACCTACCATTTAAGCCTATAAGAGGACTGGGACAAGAAGGGCTCAGAGATCCAAGGCCTAGAGGCTTCCCTGTTCTGCACAGTATCAGTTACCCCCACCTTGTCAGAGAACTAGAAGTCCTGAGCCCCTCGGCCAGACATCACCATCTGGAGTCCTGGAGAGCCATGGCTGCTGCAGGACGGTGTACACAGGGCAGAAAGACCTTGGGGATGCCCACCGGGCAGGCCGGCAGGTGGGAAGGTGACAGGGGGACTCACCCTCTCCAAGTCCTGCCGCAGGTGTGTGAAGAGCTTCAGGCGGCGGTATAGGACGTCTTGCTCCTGCTGGGCCAGGTTGTCCACCTCGTCGGTCTTGGGGGTGAGCAGTGGCTGGTTGGCGTTGGCTTTCCTCTTCAGCTTCCAGTACTGGTAGATGAAGTCAACCAGTGCCTCAGCCAGCTCCAGCCGCTCAGCCACCTCAGCCGGCTCCACCAGCTCGTAGAAGTCTTCCTCCAGCTGCTGCAACCGCTGCTTGCGTAGGGTCACCTTCTCCAGGTCCTCGCCAGCTGGGCTGGGCTCCACAGGCTCAGAAGTGGGCTCACTCCGAGGGCCCCCGTCACTGTGCTCCTGGCAGAATGACTTGAACTTGACCTCATCGTTGTCTGCTAATATAGTCCGCATTTCCAGGCCATGGTCAAAGGCGCATGTGACATGGAATGCTGTGACACAGGAAGGCATGGAGCACTGGGGAGAGAGGAGGGGAAGTGTCAGGCATGAAGGGAGGCCTGGTGGGAAGGAAGAAGGATGTGGGGCACCCTCCAGGGTTCCACTGAGAACCCAGGATGCTGATGATACCCTATGTAAAATGGCATGGACCCCAAACATCCTGTGGGTGTGGAAGGAGCTGTAGTATTTGGGAAGGGGGAACTCTGGGGTAGCCTGAAAGGAAATGGGGTTCAGCACCATATATCTTGGGGAAATGGTCAGGTGATCTGACAACCCTTTGGGGATTAGGCTGCATTACGGTGTGGGCAAAATCACTTTGGAACAAGAGGCGTCAAAAGAAAGGCTGGTGATGGGTCACTGCCTCCTTTCTGCAACATCATCTCAGATGGAGAGTCATGCCCCTCCTCTGTCCTCTGGGAAGCGGTGCTGGACAGGGACCCTTTCCTTTTCTTGCCCAGGCAGCTAGGGCCAACTCAGGGACTACTCACTCCTCCCTCGCAGCCTTGGATGATGGCTGTGGGCAACTGATAAATGTTTCAGGAATACCCCACCCAACTATTAATGACTGCACTCACAAGTCACTTGAAAGTCTTACAAATGGGTGGAGGCACATCTAGTGTTTGCAATGACAACTGCTGCTAGAGAAAGGAAGAGGACAAAGGATAAACCCCTACTTTCCAAACTACAGACCAGCAGCATCGGGTCACCTGGGAACTTGTTGGAAAAGCAAATTCTCAGCTCATTCTTAATCTACTGAAGTGGGACCTCTGGGGGTAGGCCCAGCAACACGCGTGTTAACAAGCTCTCCAGGTAATACTGACGCACACCGGAATTTGGGAACCAATGCTGTGGACAGACTGGTGCAGCACTGTCCTGCAGGGGGAGAGCCTATTAGCTCAGCTGGATGAAAAGGGTTTCCTACCTCTCCCACATGTTTGATGTCGGACATGAGGTCAATGTATTTATTAACCCCAAAGACAGCTGCTGTTGGGGAAAGCCAGGGTCCCTCAGCAATGCAATGGTGTGGTAAGCCTTTGCTTTTGCAGCCTCTACCCCATGCCTAGAGGAACTGGGGATAGAGGAATGCCCCTTGGGTGGGGTTCTGAGTCTGGCTCCAGTCCCAGGCATCTGTGGCCCATTGGGGGTGGGGGTGGCGGTGCTGGCAGCCGTGTGTTTTCCAGAGTGTCCCAGAAGCACCTCTCTAGGCAGCTGGTCTATGCAGGAGACCTCCCGGGTGGCAGTAGATGAACAGGCCACGTACCTGAATGCAGGTGCCTGTGCACTCCTTGCAAAGGCTGCAGGACAGAGCCCAGCGGCTGGCTGGGATATGTGAGATCTTGGTGATGGGCTCCATCTTCTCAGGGCACCCGATGCTGACCTGGGCAGGACACAGGGAGCCGCATCAGGCCTCTCATCCCCAGCCTGCCTCTAAGGATCCCCCAAATGGGAGTTGTCTGCTGAAACCAGGCAGTGGGTGCACAGAGCAATGGGAGAGCCCCTGAATCCCAAGACCTCCGTGACCATCTCAGGCTGACCACTGAGTGTGTTAGTGTTTGCTCACCTATGACTAGTCTTAAAATGTGACTCTGTTTGAGAGTGCAGAGCAGTCTGTGTAACTGAGTGTGTGTGTATCTCTGTGTACACACAGATTACTTATTCTAACATGTATTTATTTAATTGATGTTTCTGGGCAGCAAGTAAAGGCCCTAAAGCAGCATTTCTTCTTGGGGGCTTCCAGGGCTTTCCTGGCCAATAAGGATGTGCCTTTATTTAGCCCTTCCCATCCCTCCTATGGGGATAAACCAACAACCACACCTAAGTCTCCTGGGCACAGCCCACCTCTTAGCCCCAGAGGGTGTGTCTGCCTCCCCACTGCCCATGTCTGAAGATGGAGGAAGGGCTCCTGTCCAGAGATCCTAAACCAAAGGGCCCCCACGGTAGGGAGAAGTCCCTGTTGATTCTGCTTGTCTCTGCTGTGCCCAGCCCAGAGTATACTCAGAGGTAGTTCCAGCTTTAAGAGGCTGATCTGGGAGTAAGATACCACTGTCAACACAACCACTATCACCACAGAAGCCTACAATGTGGGTCCGTACAAGAACTTTTCAGACTGAAAGCCCACAAAGGGTAGGGCCATCTGCTGACAGGGCTGCCTGGCTTGCTTGTAGGTACAGGCAGCATCAGACTGGGGCCTCATTCTGGATCTGGGGACACAGCAAGGCTAGGTCAGAAATTCTGGTGGATGTCACCATTTCATATTTCAAATAAAACAGGATAACCTTCCAGAAGTCTGGTGCCTCTTCTAACTCAAAGTGGGCCTACCTAGCCTGTCTCTCATGGTCCCCCTCCATGCAGACTCCACACCGACCCCTCCATCCCAGCCATAGCCATAGTTAGCAGACCCACTATCCACTTCTAATTAGCTCTCTGCCTGATTGCTCGATTTCCTTTTAGGTCAGCCGGCTCATTTTTGTTCTAAACAGGGGGTGTGACATTGGTTGGAACCACTGTGGATTTGGAAGGGCTCACAACACGCTTTCCCCTCTACTCCACTGCCTGGTGTCTGCCCAGCTCTCAGACCTACCACCTGGGTCCCCCAGTGCCCATAATCCCATTTACCCATGGAAACCACCACCTGAGTTCTGTCTAAATCCAAAGCTCTCTGTGGGTTGCCGCCCCAGTTCTTGGGTACCACATAGGAGATACCCCTTTTTATGCAGACCGGTTCCTTCTTTCCCAGTGGTCTGTAACCAGAGTTCTGAGCTCCATGCAGACCCGCTTCCCCAGAGCCGCCCCATGGCCACGTCTGCCCACCTCAGGAATCCACAGAGCGCAGCTGACGTGCACCCACTTGGTCCCGCTTCTGGTGGGCTTCAAGGCTCCTCCTCGCTTGGGGCAGAGCAGGCACTTTGGCTGGACACCCAGGGCACACGTCCGGCACAGCCAGCTGCCCGTGGGCACCTTGAGGATCCCATAGCATGCCTGGGGAGAGAGCAGGGCAGTCACAAGTCAGATGCATCGGCCATGTGCATTTGGTCAGGATTTAGCCGCAAATGGTCCCAGCCTCAGCCCGATCTAGAAGCTGCAAGTGCCACACTGCTAGTAGGCTCTGGCAAGGAGGCCTCCGGAGGGATTGTAAGGCAAAGACGCCAGTCCTCTGTGGAAGGGCTCAGCTCTGCCCTCTGTTGGGAGGGAAGTCGCTTTGGCTAGAGATTCCTAATGAGTGATGGATTTCAGAAGCGGCCATGAACTCCTGTAAGTTAAACGTACATTTGGGTATGTATGCTGCCTAAGGACAGGGCCCAGAGCTTTCTTCCTCTTTTCAGAGATTTGGGAAGGCGGCTCCTCCTAGTCGTGCCTATGGCTTATGGACCTAAGAGCAACTGGTATAAGGGATATGAATGAATGGGGGGTACACAGACAAGTGATGAAGCCCCTCTGAGCTCCCTAGAAGCTATTTCAGAAGTGGCGGATAAGGAGGTGTGTGTGTGTGCATGCGCGCACTATGGTAGATCCACTGGGTTCCAGTCAAGTCTTCTAGAAACAAGGCCCAGAACTGCTCCAAACCTGGAAGCTTTGGAGCCCAAGATCAAGATGTCGGCATGTCAGACAGCACCCAATTTATATCATCAATAATGGTAAATACTTATAAGCCCGGACTACACTGTTCTAAGCAAACAGCTCATAGGAAGTACCTTAATCATCACAAGAAATTACTTATCTGAAGCTGAGGAAATAGAGGCCCAGAGAGGTTAAGAAATTACCCAAAGTCACATAGTTTGTAAAGGGAAGGGCCACAATTTGGAATCAGGAACGCTGGCTCCAGGCTTTACTCTCCATCACTGCACTGTGTTGCCTCTTTAGAAGTTTAGGATGGTGAGGAGCACAGGAGGAGGGGCAGGGGGGCAGGGTGCTCAGTGAGGGGAGTCAAGGAAAGCCCACAGGAAAAGCATGGAAAGACCACCCAGTGGACATTGACTCCAGTGTGGCTGACAGGGCTGAGCCAGGGGGCACTCACTCCGTTCCCTCCTCCTCCCCTGCCCTGCTTAGGGGCCTGTGTCCACAATGCTCCTGCATTCCTACAGCCAGGATGACCATGTCCAGGCAGCGGCCTGGCCGAGGAACATGTGAGGGGGCGACTGAGAGGATGCCCACCTGGTGCACGCAGACATTGCATTTGTCACAGAAGACCATCTCGTTGCCATCTTCGCCCTCGGGAGAACGGCACACGTCACAGACGACGTCCTCATCATACTCGATGCCCAACCCCTCCTGTGTCTCAATGGCCCGCGCCATATTCTGGTGGCACAGGGTCTCCAACTCCTCCAGCACACGCTCTAGTGTCAGCTCGTCCAGCTCTGGCCTCTCTGTGAGGACAGCAGGGGAGGGTGTTAGGAGCCTGCTCTGTCAGGCAGTTGTATGGAGGGGTCTCCTCCCACCCACCGGGTGATGGGAAAATGCACCCATTGTCGCGGGCCTCAGCTCCGTCATCCGAAAACAGAACGGGCAGGGCCATTCAATCTCAAAGACCCCTGGGGCAGGTTATGGTGTTCTGACTTTTGACAGCCTGCTTGTGACCACACGCACGTGTACATGCAAATAACATGGAAGTATCTGTGGGAGGCAGCTATATGCATGGAGAATCCACTGCTTGAACTGTGTGTATGGCAGGAATGGGGGACCTTCCTAGGAGATGTTAGTGGGCTTCAGCCAGGAGCCCCATATCAATTGTCCTCAGCCTCATTTTTCATCCTAGACTCATTAATGTGCTCACTTACTCTTCATGTAACGGTCAAGCTTACTAACGATATTCTCAAGAACTCTGGAAATTACATGCTATTAGTGCACTCACCTGACAGCTACAGAAAATGAGGCACAAGACACCCCAAATAACTTCTCCAAACTAGAATACAGCAGGGATTTTCTCTCAGATCCATGCAGTGCCAAAGCTCAGTTGTGCCCATACCCTTCTGAGGGTGGCATTCAGAAGAAAACTCTGCTCGGCCTGCTCCAAACCCACTCTTGTCCCATCAGGTCACCTACCCATCTCCTTGAGCTCCGAGTTGATGAGCTCCAGCCAGTAGGCATCAATCTCGTCCAGGTCATAGCGGCTGCCCCCAGGCCAATCAGGCTGGGAGCCCTCGCCAAGTTCAGAGCTGCTAGGGGACACCTGGGTAGGGGGGCCTTCCAGCGGTGGGAGGATCCTAGGAAATCAAGAGAGGGAATCATGAGAGGAGGGATCCTTAGCCTGCCAGGCTCACGGGGTCTGGCGGGCTCCACTGAGTCGGCCAGACTAGATAAGGAGCTGCTGGACAAGCGAGGTGTGAGATTTTGATGCGACCTCCTTACACTACCTCTTCCTGCCTGACTACCCTGCAGAGACCCAAAGGCCTATCTATGGGCAAGCAGGAAAGCAGAACAAAGGGCAGAGTGTGGGTAAGGAGGGGAATGGATGCTGACCCATTGCCCTGCATATCCATTCTGCCCAGTGCACTCCTCTACTGGTCCTGTCATGAGGCTTTAGCTAAAGCTCCATGATCTAGATCTGCCCTGCCCGGGCCTATGGGAGGCAGTCCATGTGCTCTCACTGGGCAATGCCCAGTGTCGACCACTGTGGGACAAGTGGGAAAGAGTGGGGCTTCAGGTCCTTCAGCATGCCCCTCAAGGCTAGGGAGAGGCCAAGATTATCCCCATGACCCCACAAGGGGAAGTGAGGCCGGCTCTCCTCTAGGGTAAGAAGGAGCCTTACCTGAGTACACTGCAGTAGCCCACCGTAGCCCTTTCCACATGAAAGCTTTACACCTCCAGAAGACACATGTCTCCCACATACCTTATCATTCCCTCAGATATGGCATAACCTGAGCAGTCAGTCTCTCACCATGGTGCCCCCACCCCCACTGCAAGATCGAGGCTTCCTCCCCTGGATCCACAGGTGGGCCTATTACAATCCCAGAATCATATACTCCAGGGCAGCCCTCCCTTGGGTCATGGCTCTCCCTGGGGCAGCTCCACTGGAAGGGTCCTGTCTGCAAAATGTGGACCCAAAGTCCTGATACACTATGTTTTTTTTTTAAGTAAACTCTACCCCCCACATGGGGCTCGAACTCACAACCCCAAGATCAAGAGGCGCACGCTCTACCGACTGAGCCAGCCAGGCGACCCTGATCTACCACTTAATGTGTAATCTGGGCAAGCTGCTGAACTTCTGTGTGCACAGTGACCTCATCCAAAAAAATAAGCTAATGATAACAGTACTTACCTTCTATGGTTGGTAAGAGTCAAATGGATGAATATGGGTAAAGCTCTTACAATAGTGCCTGGCACACATTAATCACTACAGGTGTGTAAGGGTGTATTTTAAAACCTTTGGATATTACTTTGCTCCTTCTGAAATGGAACCAGAGGGCTTCTGCCTGGGGAGGGCACAGTTCCCCCTCGTGACTCAGCTGTGCACTGCCCCTCAGTTCCTGATGCCAGTTCAAAATGCCAGCTCTTCTCACCCCCCACCGTTGCCATGGTTATTGCTGCAGAGCCTGACTTCCATCTGGCCAGCCCTCCCAGGGGCTGAGAGGCCCCTCACTTGCCCAAGAGGCCTCCTGGGGTCAAAGGCAGGGCTGCCAGGGGTTGTGACTCAGCGCAGACAGGGGACGGGAGGGGTGGGCAGGATGGCACAGACATGGCTCAACTATGGGGAGGACTCCTGGGCTCCAGGAAATGGGCCAGGTGTCAGCCAGAGGGGCAGGAAGGATGAAGAAGACAGGGAGGCAAAAACGGCTTCCAGACCCAGGGAGAGGCTCAGAGGAGGTTGACGGGAGTACGGAGAAAGGCAAAGTGCTTGGTGCCACCTTTTCCCACACGAGAGGCCCAGATTAAGGGAGGCCTCAGGTAGTGACTGATGGCGGCTCCCTCCAGCCCCCCGTAAAATAGGTCATTCCAAACAGATGCATTACTGATACTCTTAGTCCTATAAAATCCTGCCTTCCCTCATGAAGGTCTTACTGGAATTAATACATTCTTTTAAAAACAAAGACAAATGTTGTCTTGATGCTGCTTTGTGTCCCCAGCGTATGTTCAGTGAGGTTTTGGACACAACCTCTGTTTGAGTGCCCTCCCACCTACTGGTGTAACTGCCGACACCTGTGTGCTCTGTCAGAAAGTTCCTTTCTTTCTCTGAGAATCTAGGGTTAAGGGGCTCACACCAGGAAAGGCATTTCCTGTGCTTTCTGGGGCTCTCGTCCTCACGTGTTACACATCTTCTGGCTCTGGCTATGGAAGAAGCTATTTCTACCAGCCGCCGACCCACCTGACCCTAGGCCAAGGTCTCAGTCTCAGCTGTCAGCCAGCAGGACAGAGATCAGCTGGAGAAGGTGGATGGCCTGGGCTGGGGGAGGGTCTCTACTTCAAAAGCCTATACCTATACCAGAGGTTGGTTTTGTCCTAGGTCGAGTCTTTTGGCCTCACTGAGGGGGCAGCACAGGTCATCACTCAATTCATGACCAGGGGATAAGACAGGTTCTCATTAACCAGATAAATTTCAGAGCAGGAGGTGGGCAGACCTGCACAATGGCCAGGGAAGAATGGACAAAAAGGGAAAGACAGTGGGGCCTGGGGGAGAGCAATGAAAGCTGGCATGCCAGCGTGATGGGGGCACAGACTCTCTCTGGGCCTCACAGGGGCAACCCAGTGCTTGTTCCCGCGGCTTGTAACTTCCTGGCCCAGCCCACTAGGCCCTGGCGGTCATGCAGGGAATTCCCCAGAATTTCCCGACTTCCTCATCTCTCAAATGGGGACAGTAAAGATGTACTTTAGAGGGCTGATATGGTAATTAAATGAGAAGATGAACATAGCAGGCTCAGCACAGCGAATTCTCAGGAAGTGCTGCTGTTAATAGTTCTAACCACGGTCGCTGCTGTGCTGGCTTCGAGATAAGGGCCTTGCAATGGGAGGTACCCTGGAAGATGGAGGGACTGGGCTAGAGGGAGATAGGGACGACTTCACAAAGAAGACAGCCCCTCCCTACCTTCAGTCTATCCTCTCCAAAGAGCACAGACAGGCCAGGAGTGCCTGGCTCCTGTCAGCTTAGAGCAGCCGAGCATATGCAGGGAATGCACCTAGAGAAGCCAGAGCAGTCTGAACACATGCTCTCCTCTCGATGTCAACAGATAAAGCACCGCGAAGGCAGACAGAAGCCAAGCTACTGGTGTGGAAGCATCTGCAATTAATTACGCAGGCTACTGGATGTTTCCGGAACCACCTGACATTGACATCAAGGAGGGAGGACAGACAGCTGGGCCAAGCCTAATCAGGACTCCCCTCTCTGTCCAGCTGGTGGCCTACCCCTCCCCTTTGCTACCCTGGGTCCTTGCCATGTGTATTCTCATTTCATCCCTGCCACACCATTAGGCAGCTACAGTTACCAGGCCCATTTTACAGAGGAGAAAACTGGTTTAAATTGGTTAGTAGTAGTTCTTCAGTAGGTAGATATAAAGGTGTCAAACTGGCTAGGAGCTTAATCCATGCTTCTGGCCCTGGGTAGGGGATGTGGAGAATATATTCCCTCTCCAAATCCCACATATTCTCTCTTTCAGAGACTACTGGAGCTCCCCTGTCAGAGGGCCCAGCACTCGGCCCTCAGGGGCCACAGGATGAGCCCTGCCCAGCCCCCGGTCCTCACAGAGCACCTAATCAGGGTTCAGTCTTATCTGCCTCTGTAATCTCATGTCCAGCACAGGTATGGCACCAGGCGGGCACTCCTAGGTGTGGTGGCCAGGAAGCAACAGTGCACTGTCAAGGGAGGTCATGGTCGTAATCTTTGACCCAGGACTTGTCAAAATGGGCCTAAGTGAGAGCCATGGGGCTGCCAAAGCCAAGCATGCAGGAGGGCCGGGGAGTTTAGGACATCAGGTCCCTCTGGCCAGAGACGACTTAGAGGGTTTTGCAGGGTGCAGAAAACACTTGGCTGACCTCTGTCGCTGGAGGCAAGGCCCATGGCCACGAGGCACCAGGGGTCTCTGTGACCCACAAGACCCAAAGGCTACAAAGCCTGGAGAGATTGTACTCGACCCAGCCCCAACCCAGCTGCCACCTTGCCCTGGCAGGGAATCCTCCTGAGGAGGATCATAGCAACTGCTTCCAGAGCACCTGCTATGTGTCAGCATTCGACTCCTTCCCACTTAGAACTCCTTAAAAGGGAGTTAACAAGTCAAGAGCATGGCTTATTCCTGACCTAAGGACTATTTAAAAGCTCGGAGATTTCCCAGATAAGACCTGGTTGTGGGACCCAGTTAGGACTGAAGTGAGGATAACCCAAGGCCAGTTTTTACTGAATGCCTGTGTGGGTCAGGTCCCGTACCAAATGTCTCCCAGGCGTTGTTTCCCTATGCCACCTTGAACACCATATAGGGTAGATGTACCGTCGTCATTCCCATTTCACAGACAAGGAGACAGAGGCTCAGGGAGATTATGCTTCTGGCCCAACGTCACACTGAATGCAAGTGGCAATTTGAACCTAAGTCATATGGCTCCAGAGCTGAGTTCTCAGCCTCAAAGGTAAACTGCCAGTATTTCTGGAACTTTTCAGGGGTTTATATGACCAAAGAATCTAAGAACAGAGACAGGCTATGAAGGTCCCTTGCCCTGGCCTGCCTTGTTGAGGACCCCCTAGCCTGGTCTGCCTGACTTACCTCACCACAGGCTCTGGAATGGCCTCTGCTCCAGCCGGCACCTGCACACCCTTCTCCCATTCCTGTCGCCATGGATCGGCCAGGATGTAGTAGTCATCCGGGCTGAGCTGGCAGGAGTCTGGAATCTTCATGGCTGTGATCAAGTCTGTCCGGAACACCTGTAAGGAGCGGGAAAGGAAAGAGTGCCTCAGGGTGGTCTGCTCCACACCCGGGACAGAAAAGGCAAATGCAACTCCAGGGGGCTTGCTGTTCCCCTCCCCCCACGCCCCCACCGCTTACTTCAAAGTAAGAAGCCAACACAAAAGCAATAATTACATTAACACATCTTCCCTGAACTCAGCACAGGGCTCTGCACACAGTAGATGCTCAATAAATGTACTGAATGGAATTCACCTGTGTTCTGATCTGTTAAAGAATGGACTTTGAATGATAGATGAGAGTGGAACTCAGAGAGAAGAGGAAAAACTTGCCAAGAAAGGCCAAAAACCTAAGGGAAAAATCAGATGGTAGGAAGGCTTCTGTGCATACTGGCATTAAGCGACTGCTCGGGGAATTTCTATAGAAGGTTTAAAATTACGCTCCACTGCTCATGTCCTCAATCTCTCTCAAAATAAATAAATAAAGGGGTGCCTGCGTGGCTCAGTTAAGCAGCTGACTTCGGTTCAGGTCATGATCTCAAGTTTCGTGAATTCAAACCCCATGTTGGGCTCTGTGCTGACAGCTCAGAGCCTGGACCCTGCTTGAGATTCTGTGTCTCCCTCTCTCTCTGCTCCTCTCCTGCTCGTTCCCTCTCTCTCAAAAATAATTAAAAAAAAAAAAAAACTTAAAAAAATTTTAATATTTTTATTTATTTCTAGGAGAGAGAGAGAGAGAGTGAGCAGGGGAGGGTCAGAGAGAGAGGGAGTCACAGACTCTGAAACAGGCTCCAGACTCTGAGCTGGCAGTCAGCACAGAGCCCGACGCGGGGCTCGANTTTTAATTTATTCAAATATTATTAAAATTCCTCATGGGAAGGCTAAAGCTTTTTTCATACAGATTTGCACGGTTGTTGTAAAATTCACTGTAAGGTGCTTTAGGGATCATTTCTTTGATCATATTCTCTAACTGGCTTTTTTTTTTTTTTTAATGTTTTTATTCCTAGGAGAGAGAGAGAGAGAGACAGCATGAGCAGGGGAGGGTCAGAGAGAGAGGGAGTCACAGACTCTGAAACAGGCTCCAGACTCTGAGCTGGCAGTCAGCACAGAGCCCGACGCGGGGCTCGAACCCACGAACCGCGAGATCACGACCTAAGCGAAAGTCGGACGCTTAACCGACTATGCCACCCAGGCGCCCCTGAAAAATTATTTTTAAATAAATAAATAAAAACTTAAAAAAACGGGGGTAGGGGGGCGCGTGCCTGTGTGGCTCAGTGAGTTAGGGATCCGACCATGATCTCATGGTACATGAATACAAGCCCCATGTCGGGCTCTCAGCTGATAGCACAGAGCCTGCTTGGGATTCTCTCTCTGCCCCTCCTCTGCTCGTGTCTTCTCTCTCTCTCTCTCTCTCTCTCTCTCAAAATCAACAAATAAAAACTTAAAATTATGGTTGTACTGCAACCACAGGCTCAAGCAGAGGTGTGAAGGAGTGCAGGGCACCAATCCCAGGCAAAGAAAGTATCAGGACCTTATATAAATAGCTGAGGGAGAGGCCAGTTCCGGTGGCAGCTCAGAGACTAGTTCCCCATGAGTCAAGGACTCCAACGACTCTCAAGAACGAGGACACCATGTGTCCCGCTGAGCTGGGGCAACACAGTGCCATACTCTGTGTGTGACACAGTAAGAAGAAGAGAAGGTTGCATTCGTTCTCAGTCAAGCCCATCCAAATATTCTCAGGGCCAGGCCATGAATGTCTACACACTCATGCTCTGGTTTTCTTCTGGGCAATGGCGAACTCAGGGGTAATCTGGGCTTCCCCGTAGTCTGTCTGTTGCCCCCCTGCCCCGACCCTCGACTTCCACCCCAGAATAGTCTCCAAACCCAGCCCTAGCTGATTCCGGCAGTGCCTCTCCTGCCCAGCTGCCTGACCTCACTGTGGTCTCGCACAAAGTGTTACTGCAGGACCTGGTGGTGGCAGCTCCAGACACAACGTGACTTGCTTAGGCACCAACTTTCCCAGCAGTCATCAAATGAGAATCACAAGTTGAGAAACCACTTCAATTAGTTTTCCAGGCCTCTGACCAAATTCCAAACCCACCACTCTCCAAAAAACCAGCATCACTGGCCTTCCAGGGGTTCATGACCAACTTGTTTAATGGTAACCTCTGCCTGCCAGGGGACCAACTCACTTGGCTGTGTGTGTCTCATTCAAATCTAGGGCCACAACAACAAGGAAACACTGAAATGGGTGTACCAAGCGGGGCTCGCAGAAACATCGTGCAGAAATCTAATTAACATTTGCATCTAGCTACAGAGGGCTTGAAAAAGGTCAAGTTTCTTGAGACTCTATTTGCCAATATAATTTAATTGTTAAGACTAACACCCTAACATTTAATTAAGGTGCCAGTGTGAAAAAATTAAAATGAGATTACGATTAAATGGTAATTAAGCAGAAGATGAAATGTGGGGAAGATTTCACAACCCTGATAATTTGCATATCTTATTAACAAGCAGTAAGGCGGCTGATACAAGAACACAAACACAGGTGCTTCTGTGCTGTCCTTCAGAAGTCCCCCTTTGCTGGCTTGGGCCCTTCCCAGCCGAGGCCTCTGCCGAGCCCAGCAGAGGCTGGGGTGAATGGAACCCACAGTCGGCTCATCACTGCCTCTGAGATCTCCTGATCCAGGTAACCCAAGTGGTACAGGCCAAAACACTGTTGCTCCCGTGCCATGGGGAGTCTCCCACCGGGGACAGCCCATCATCTGGCTCTAGAAATCAACCCTTCACTACTGTCACCAAGTGTCCCTACAAAAAGGCATGGGTAAATCTGAAACCTTTTGCTGTTCCCTCATCCTGGGCTGTGGTATAAGCACCATTTCTTTCAGGATTCCTTTGCACCTTTCAGGTGCTCACTCTGACTCAAGGAGCACCAACTGCGCCGCAGAGCCATCTTCCACCTGGCCATCCTGCCTCAGGCCCCAGCACTTAACACCCCCCCACAATGAACTGGTGTGCTCCTGTGGTTTGTTTCTCGACATCTGCCCTGCCAAAGCAGTCCTGTGTTCTGTTATGTACTCAGTGCCTGGCATAATGACTGCCACATAGCAGGTGCTCAGTAAATAGTAAATGAATGAATGAATGGCCCTCTCTAGGGAATTATCTGAGGCCTCCAGCTGGCTCCTTGGCAGTGCTTTTTGAACCTGCACTAATAGGGTGAGAGACCTCATGGATATATGCAGAGCTGAAATCCCCAAGCCGGGCTCGAAGCCGAAGGACCAGCACACTACCCAAGCTGGAGTCTGGGAGGCTCAATGTCAGGCTACACCAGCAGGGGAGAGGTGGCCCCGAGTAGGAACAGGAGCGGCACTGGAACTCTGCAGGAAGGGATCCCAGGCTCAAGGGATCAGAGAGATTTAGGAGTGAGACAGAGGCGGAGGAGGGGAGGGGGAGTCTAGCCCCAAGACAGTTCCAAGTTTCATCGTCCCTCACTTAGGTAGCGGGTAGCAGACTGGACACAATGGTCCTTTGGGGCAGGAGACTGATGGAAGTTCAGGAAGGAGAGCACTATCATAATAGTAGCAGCCCGCACTTACGGAGCATTATGTATTCAGTACCCGTCTAAAGGCAGTTCTTGAATTAACCTGAGTTCCTACACTAACTCTGTGAGGTAGAGGCTACGATCATCCTTACTCTGAGACTCAAGTTAGTTAAATCACCTATACAAGGCCCTACATGCTGGAAGTGAAAAAGGATCCCAGCCCATGGACTCTGAAGCCACCCAGCACTCCCCCAGAGCCCCTTTGTCCCTTCTGGCCACTTGCTCAAGGCCTGCACAAAAGCCAAATCAGATAGCTTCCCCAAAGGCTAGAATATGCAAATCAGAAGGTGGCCTTTGTGAACTGCAAACCCTTGAATGGCCTTCCACTGTTCCCTCCAGCTGAGCTGGAGGAATTACCAGGCCCCTGTGGCCACATGATAGATACTCCATACTCCGGAGCACTTTTCACCCTTGGCACGTGGGAGGAGCCTGCTGGGACACTCTTCTTTCTTGCCAAAGCGGGGATGGCCTGTTTCACCTTGGAGGTCTCAGACGTGGGGGTCCACATGTGCTCTGGGAAACCTTCCTGGGTCCCAGGCTGGGTTCTGGGCTTCCTGTGAACTCCCATTAGCCCTGTGTTGGGGTCCCCTGGTTTCTTCCTCCACAGCCCCCACATGAAAGAGGTGAGCTCAGTGAGTGCCAGCTGGACCACAGGCTGGAGCCCGACAACGTACACAGGGTCTACCACACGTGAGATGCCAACAAAGGCGAAAGGACTCAAGAGCCTTCCATGAATCTACTGCGACCTTCTTGGGTTGCTGCCCAAGGCTACTTACAGTTGGGCACCTCGGTACCCTGTAACTTCCAAAGGAGCCTCTGTGCATTAATATAAAACCTGTCCACAAATACGGCAACCCGACTGTCACCCAAACATCCTTTTTGTTCTAAACTGCCAGAGGTTAAGCTTGAAAGAAGCTCACTTCTTCTCCTAAAACGCCTTTGAATTATTTATGAAAACTAAATAAAGAATAAAATGGACGCTGATGAACTGGAAGCCTGTCCATGGCGAAAAAGTTGGAAGTTGGAAAACAAGCAATTTCCCAAGAATGTTAATGTTTACTATTTTTTTCTCTCCTATGGCAGAAAATGACAAATTGTCTTTAAGGGTCTGCTGCCTAGCAACCAAGTTCTGAGCTGCCTGGGAGATGTTAATTGTAGCTTCTTCAAACAGTATGAAGAATGATTAAAGGTCTAAAACTTCAAACAGTAGGAAGAATGTTTAATAACCAATCTGAATGCCGAGGTGCCAATATGGCTCTGGAAGGAGCCGAAGGCCCTACTCTCCCCAGATCTAGTGACAACGCACATGGCCTTGACCTCCACTTCCTTTTCCTCAGACTGAAGACTACAACCACCGAGCCATCTGTCTGGTTTTCCACACCTACTTCCCCAGGAAGAACCCCAAACAAACTCCACTAGGAAC